ATCTGCTTTTTGATTTTTACAGGATATCATGATTAGGAGAGCTCCAGGAGTCTTCAGACTCTTAAACACTGTTGGGATTGTTATAGACTATAGAAACTTCTGATTTGACTGCATTTTCCCTATATGATATTGCTACAAGTCTCTAGGGGCCTGGGAGTACAAGGTCGTGGTTTGATTAAAAGCCACTGGGAAGCAGCACTATTTTAAAGGATTAGGAGGTGTGGTTTTGTTAAAAGAAGGGTGCTGGGGGTGGGAAGACTGGCCCAGTGGTGCTTTCTTCCTGCTACCTGTGGATCGGATTTCAGCTACTTTTCCAGCACCGTGTCTGTCTGTGTGCTGCCACGCCTCATACCATAATAACAGACTAACCCTCTGAAACTGTAAGCAAGCCCCCAATTAAATGATTTCTTTTATAAGAAAGACTGTGGTCATAGTATCTCTTCAAAGCAACAGAACACTAATACAACACCCATGAACAAATCACACGTGGTCAAACCAAAATATAATAAAAATATTTAGTGAAAACACATATTTTAAAGCCCATTGAAGGATTTAAAAAATACAAATCAAGTTTTATCAATTTGATATTCAGGTTATAATTGGCTTAACACATAGCCTTGGTTTATTTCCTAAAATCATACTGCAGTATCTTTTCAGAAATTAAATGCCTTCATTAGTTATATTAATAGAGGTAAATATGTAGACAGTATACTTATCCCTGGGTTTCTTAAAAAAATAAACTAAAAAGTCTTAGTGTAAGTTTAAAACTTTAATATTTATAAATTTAAAAATGTTACACGTGCTGAATGGTAGCAGTGCTGACATTCTGCGGGCACTAAACCACAGCTCACTGCATAGAGCTTCTTTTTGTACAGAGAGTAAGATCACAATACCAGGGTTTGCCATTTGTCATGATTTTGTGGTAGACACCACACCAGGAAACCTGGGTTTAGAGCACATTTGAGGTCAGATTCCCCACCCCCACCCCCACCCCCAGTAGGTACATAGTGCAGACACGGTAAAGAACCCAGGCTGCGAAATTAGCCGCCAGAGCACACCTGACAGCTCCAAAGAGCTATGAGGCCTAAAAATGCAGACACACCAAGAAAGCCAAACCTTCCCACAGGTGAAGAGCAGGCCACAGGGGCACAGAGAGCTGCCTACTGCAGCCACACATCTCCCACTGGCCAGGACAGTCTTTACAGAGACCTCCACACATCTACAGAACAGAAACACTCCTCCGTCCATCTTCAAAACTAGCAAAATCAAAGTCCATTATTAATCTTCTACTTTGACCTGAACCAAATGTACTCTTTGGCTATATAAGTCATGGTTTCCCCTTATAACCAACCAGGAGCACTTCACAATTCTTATGCCTAAGGAAAAGTGAAGTTAAACTTGAGCCATGGCCCTTTAAATCAACTTGAATTTAACAAGATGTCTAATTTGGACATTTTTCTAATTCCAGAAAGTTAAGTTTTAAAGAAATGCAATGTTTCCAGAAAAAACCCACTTACATTTTCAAGTAACTTAAAAATACTATTACAGCCTCAAATTATCTGTAATTCTGTGGGAAATTTTATAGAAAATTTATAATGTTAAAAATCTCATATCCAAATGAGTTCCTTATTCTTAGGAAAAAAAAAAAAAAACAAGATACACCTCTGCACAACACTGCAGTTCCTTCAGACTCAAATGCTGAGTTTGGTACTGAGACCCCGTAGTGATCACTCGAAAGACAGGGCCCATGACAATCACCTCTACTAACAGAGACGGCAAACAAAATATATGTAAATACATAACAAAGAAAAACATTTTCAGGGTACAATCAACACTACCTATTCCCTAGGAGACTCTGACCTGAAATACTTGAAACTGACAGCTAGCGTCCCGTCGGTACTTGAGGGCTTCATACAAGTACTGACAGAGAGGAGACAGGCGGCAACACAGTCTTGACCGCAGGAAGAGCACTGAATGATGCTGAGTGGGGAAGATTATAGATCTGTTTGGCTTTGAAGTGAAAACTGGGACAGAGTATCTGATTATTATTAGATATTTTTCCATATAATCAATTTGAAGTTTTTAAGTTTGGGGAAAATCTCGACAGAATGTACACAAATTGTCATTTGTATCAGACAAAAACAATACAGTCACATTGACATAACAGTCTTCCCCCAGAATAATATTCAACTGCTGTGTTAGAAAGGACACTGAGGCAGGCGGATCTCTGTGAGTTCGAGACCAGCCTGGTCTACAAGAGCTAGTTCCAGGACAGGTTCCAAAACCACAGAGAAACCCTGTCTCGAAAAACCAAAAAAAAAAAAAAAAAAGAAAGGACACTGTCAAATACAACAACCCAGCACAAAGACATCAGTCAAACTACCCTCTGCAGAGGCCACAAGAGCACAGCCGAGGGGGTCACATCAGCACCACTGTTAGCATACAACCTCCCTGCCTGGTGACTCTGATGACTTAGTGATTGCGCCCTGGGGAAAAAAATGGTCAAGAAGCATAAGATGAGCCAAGGCGAACAATAGTATGGGGAAATACAGGTTAGAGGATGCGCTATGAACAAATGAAATTTAACACAAAAGAGGAAAAGTCAAATATCTGGCAGCGAGCGTCCTCTTAACATGTATTTTAAAAAGTGCACAAATGATTTAACAGTCAGTTTAAATTGGAAAACTAGTCCGTGACCATGAAATCCATGGCCTCAATACCCACTGGGTGACGAGCATCAGGAAGTGGAACAGCAACAAAACCCAGAGGTTCATAAAGCACTTGTAAACAACAAAGCCGGGCAAAGGAAAAGACCAAACTAAACAAATACTCAATAAAGCAAACAAATGCAAACACACACCCTGAAAAATCTAGGTGGTACAAGTGGCATTCCCGTTATCTGAAATATGGTGGCGTCATTCACTGTCAGTTGGCCATTAATCAATGTTCTGGTGATCATTTAAGCATTATTTGGTCCAATCTAAAATAAATCTTCCTTCAATTAAAAGTGGTGTAACAGAACCGGAGTATCATACTAGTATCCGGACAATTTCATATAGTTCTGTCTGTATAGAAGTTAATACTCAGATGCCTTCTCACTGCATCCTTCCCTACCCATCTTCACGTGAACTTAGGCCCATGGTTTTAACTCGCATGGCACACACAAACCACACCCGCTGAGGAAAACAGACATCAAGAACAACACAAAACAGAGAGATTACTGATGTAGAGCACTTCAAGTTAAGAGAAAAAGAATCGAAAAGCACTCCTTTCCAAGAACTTAAAATACAGAGCATGTGGAGAATGCTATTGTTTTCCTTCTTTGTAGTATTTAGAGATTTTTCTTCCTCCATGCTTACTGTTACTAAATGGTGATCAATACAGAAGAAAGGATTCTCAAAAAGTTATGGCCCTCAGCTCTGCGTCCACTCACACCTACCATCACAGGAATGGGACGCTCTGTTTATAGAGAGCCATACAATGTCTCCAGAGCGTCAGATGCTAAGGTGCGTGAGGTTCAGGTTTAGCAGAGACATCAGCAGCAGAGGAGCCTGCCCCTCCACGGCAGTCTCAGATGCACCTGGGCAGAAGCATCTTGTTGCCGCTATACTCTGTGACTGGTCCTGCAGTTTCCAAGGACTGCTGTTTATAAATGAGCTTTTATTTTCATAATTAAAACTGGCACACAAAATTAAGTGGAGCACAGTAGCAGTATAAAAATCCTGATTATAAAAGCCAGAGGATCTAAAGTGAATTTTTCTCTTTCTCTCTCTCTCTTTTTTTTTTAAAAAGGACAGATCATACTTTGTAACTCAGACTAGCCTGGCATTCATGACTATGCCTGGCTAAAGATAAATTTTTAGTCTCTGAAACTGAACTAGTGTGGCTCCTGTGACTTGAGGATAACACTTACTTTAGCATAATTATTGCCCCTAATGCCCCAACGTGCAATAGTCTGTGTGAAGTGGTAATTCACATCCATTAAAAAGTTATTGCTTAAGCAAGCCATCCAGAGTAGATACAGGCTGTGTGGTTGGACAGAAACACAGAGAGGTAACCACATGGGGTTTCTCGTTTCATTTCACTGGGAAACACACATAAATACATAATCAAAGGGGCAGAAGGGTCATAGCAGCTAATACCCTAAGCCAACTCTTACGTGTCAAGACTAATTTCGCTCTAAAATAAATCTGGTTTGTCTTTTCCTCTTAAAATTAAGGCAATGAAATGGCTACAGTTCCTAAAGTTAACTGTACGAAACAGAAATATACACGCATTTCCCTCAAGTTCAGGCATCACCGTCTGATTAGAAACCTGCAATAATTACACAAGACCTGCAACGCTGAGGACGAAAGGGAAGGAAGGTGGGGAAGGGGGAAGATGAACAATGAAACTAACAGACACTCACTGATGATTTTTCTTCCTGCATAATTATAATCACTGAAGGGGGGAAAAGTAGGAAAGCACAAAATCTCTTAAGGGTTTTCACCATCTCTTGCACTGATTCAAAATGTTTAGGAAAACAAAGGGGAAGAACTTATTAAAACGGAGACCCCAGAGCTAACCAGGTATTCTGAAGATGCCCAGTAGGGCCCAAGAATCCACCCCTACAACCAGTTCCCCAAGAGATGAGGGGAATCTACGGACATTTTGAAAAATAATTCTGAAAACATACCACCTTTGGCTAGTCACCTATGCTTTGATAAAAGGGCAAAAGGCACTGAATAGGAATTTCATGGTGCCCATATCTGTTTGCACATATATGGAATTGCATTTTGAAATTTTAAATCACCATTCAGAATCTAGAAGACAAGTATATGGCAGATCATGGCTAACACCTAATAACAGAAGCTGATTTTAAGTTGACTTCTCCTGTTTAACCAAATTCCACATCGAAGTCTCAGGCTCTCCAAAATCCAAATGGTCAAATGAACTGAGGAATAGGCCAAGACTCAAGTCAACTTTCAGCAATTCAGTGCACTTTGCAGAAAGGATCTAAGTTAAGAATATAGCTCTGCGGTTTATTTCACACAAAGGAGACCACCAACATTTGCCATAAATTCTTCTAAACTCTTTAGGAAGGCCATCTTCTGCTTCCGGTCCAGGGTAGGAGGAGTGCTGCTTGCAGTGAGCTTGTTGAAGGCATCTGCTAATCTCTGGTAAATGATTGGGTCCTGCTGACTTGACAGTAATGTCTCAACTAGTTCAGAATACTCAGCCTGCAAAGGAAACAAGATAGTCATAAGAATGCCTTCCGGGGATCCTAGCAGGGACTATGGGGTTGGTTCTAAGGCAGGGCAGACCACTCTTTCCAACATCAGTGATTACTGTTCTTACTTTGTAGGTTAATTCATTTAATATGTAGGCTGCTATGAGACTGACACTACCAATGTTCATACTTCACAGATGAATGTTCTGCCAGCTGAAGTAACACATTCAAACTTACACTTATAAAGCAACAGTATGGGCAATCTGGCTCCATGTGCTCCCAGCTTTGTGGTACTGCCTTTTCTATTTAGTTTGCATTTTGTACAAAAGCCCTATGTCTATATTGTGATGGTGAACAGTTCTCGTGCAGACACCTTGTCCACCCAGCTCCAAGGACAGCAGAGGCACAGCGGCACAAGTGTAGAGGTTTGAGAGCTCTCGCAAGGTGGAGGTAGAACACTTTGAAAGTCCCAAGCCAGCACTGTAGCCAGTGGCTTTGGATAAAGGGCAGGGATAATTTAATGTAGTGGTGGTATTTTTTATCTTTGGTATTCTCTCTCATAACATTAATATATAGGTAAGTAGGCAGAGGCTGGAGGGAAAGTCACCTAGGCCAGAAGTGCTGTGGAGAAAGCTGGTCTGCCATTAATTTCCATGAACTTCTTGGGATATCACAACGATAAAATGATGAAATCAGACATCACGTAGAGCAGAAATTCCCACCCTCATTGTCTACAGCACTGAGCCAGGGCTACCTTAGCTGCCCTTTCCAAAGGACAGTAGGAAGCCAGTATAACTTCAAATCATTGCCCTATCGCCAAGAAACGGTCAGGCAGCAAGAACCACACTAGTTGTTCCAAAGTGCTCACTCTGCTTTCTGTCTTTCCAGGGGACAAAAAACATTTTTTACACTCATTTATTTATTTATGTGTATGTGTTGTCAGAGAACAACTTGCAGGAGTTGGTCTTCTCCTTTCACCATGCTTGTCTTATTTCTTATAAATGTTCTTACGTTTGTTTATTTATTTGTGTGTGTAAACAACTTGCAGAGTTAGTTCTCTCTGTCCACCACATATATAGGACTCAAGGATTGAACTCAGGTTATCAGGCTTGGTGGCAAGTACCTAAAGTACGCTATGAGCCATCCTCCTGGGCTCCCTTGAGTGTCTCTAAAATGTACATAGTCTAAAAGCCATCAGACAAGGAAATCAGAATGTACTGCTTGCACACGCGGGAAAGAAGCCCATTGTCCTCGTAAGCAACATGATGGAAGGGAGCACACACCTGAAAGGAAATACTTTTTTTTTGGGGGGGGGGGTTAGATATTTATTTAGCGGGTTATGGAAGGGAAGAGAAAGAAAGAAAGAAAGAAAGAAAGAAAGAAAGAAAGAAAGAAAGAAGGAAGGAAGGAAGCGGGGGGGGAGAGAATGTAGTGAGGCAAGCTTTCTTGAAGGCCCAGTGTCTCTCACAGCCTGTGCTACACATGGCACATAGCATTTGGAAGAAGAGGGGCTTTATATGCGCGGGTCTGAAAACCCTACTGGTTTCAGGAAGGCCAAACTTCTTCAACCAACCACCTGGCCATACAAAAAGGTGTAAGGTAATGGAAAATTAGGCATCACCCTTCCCCAACTTGTTCCTTAATGTACTTTATATATTAGATAGGCATTCTATCGGAAATAAGAGGCAGGTGAACCTCTGTTACATTCATCCCACAAGAATAATGGTTTTAGATCTTAAAGGTTCAACAAAACTAGTAATTCACTGTTTTCAAAACACTAAACAAAGTAACACTCCATTCTTTAATACTCTCTGAAGGCAAACTCCCGCTCCCAATCTGATACACCTCTCCATTTTTATAAAACCGGAATTCCTCAAAGACAGCAGTCACTCACTGTGTACATGCACCTGGCTCCTAGCACAGGTAAATTAAAGCCAAGCTTTTAGGTGGGAACTGCGACAAAGAATGGCTCATAACAGAGAAGGGAAAATAAATTGTTTTGATCTGACACAAATACAAAAATACAACTCTGGAGCTCATGAAAGAGCAGAAAACACTGAACTGGGGACAGGGAACTAGGTCTCTGAGTCCCAGTCCTGGAAACACAAAGAACTGGTGGACGAGGACCATCGTCGTCCACGAGAGAGGGGTATCAGTACCTGGTGCAAACACACCAATGTGTAGAACGCCTCTCCTGCTGCAGTCGTCATCTCTGTGTTGTGCTTCTGCAATACCAGCATATCAAAAACCAGCTGAAATTACATAATACGATATCGTTATAAAATACAGGATAACTATTTAAAACTCTAGTCCCTCCCTGCCTGAAAAAGGGATAGCAGTTATAGTCAACTTATTACATTAACCGATTAATTAGTAAATCACTTTTTAATCTAAAAAACATTCTGTGGAATCTATATTTACAACATTGTTCAAGAACACAAAATAGAAGTAGAAGAGAACATGCTCCTAAAGAACTGGTCTTCATGGAAAAACCAGTGAACATAGCTGTGGTGCGTACACCTTTAACCCAGCACTCGGGAGGCAGGGGCAGGAGGATCTATGTGTTTGAGGTCAGCCTGGTCTACACAGAGAAACCCTGTCAAAACCAAAACCAGACCAAACCAAACCTACACACATGAATCGAGAATTTTATGAGTCTGGAGAATGGCTCAGTGGTGAAGTGCACTGGCTGCTCTTCCAGAGGCCCTGAGTTCAATTCCCAGCAACCACATGGTAGCTCACAACCATCTATAGTAGGATCTGGCACCCTCTTCTGGTGTGCATGAAGACAGGTCATTCACACACATCAAACACACACACGCACGCACGCACGCACACTTAAAAAGCTCCCCTCTTTTTACTTTGAGATGAGGTCTTGCTAACATGCTCAGGTTGGCTTTGAACTCACTCTGTTGCCTCAGTAACAGAGTGGACAGAGAGAACTAACTCCTTTATTAGCCCCAGTAGTTGGCATGGCAGGCAAGTACGACTTAGCTTGGTTAAGAAGATAGTTCGCCAACCTACTCACCAAACATCTTACCTTAAGGAAGTGCCGAGTTGCTAGAAAAAGTGGTGAATCAGTTTCTTGTGCTTTAGCACATTGTTCAGCCAATGGTGTTAAGGCCTCAAGGCAGAGCTGGCATACTTCTGAACTCATTCTGAACATAATGGTCAAAGAACAAACTAGAAGACATACCCGACTTTATAAAAGATCAAAAAAAAAAAAAACCAAATGACAACTACATTATGCACATGACTATTGTAGACATAAATACAGGTAGTGGGAGTAGACCAAATTGCAAAGTCTTAACTGAATTAGGAAAGACTCAAAAAGCTAGCCTTTCGAGTCTAAGTCCGGTGACGCCTAGCTTGTTTCTGCAGATGATCCTCAGATGATGACATTATAATGTCAGCAAGCTGAGACTAGAGAACCAACTGCAATACACCACATGACCTAATGAAGGAAGGACATGACGATCAGGGCCCAGGTGCTACACACATGAAAGGGAAAGATCATGTAAGTTCACAAGAGGAACAGAATCAGAGCTGGCCGTGGTGGTGCGAAACTTCGAACCCAGCACTCAGGAGGCAGAGATAGGCAAATCTTTGAACTTGGGGTCAGCCTGGTCTACAGAGTGGTTTCCAGGACAGCCAGGTCTGAAACCCTGTTTCAAGGGAAAAAGAGAGAGAAAGAAAGTTAAAGCAGCTATAGAGGGGACATGTTTTTGAAGAAATAAAACAACTATAAAAGAAAATCAATCATTTAAAAAACTTTAAGTAAGAAGCCCCCTCCTTGAATAACAAAGTTCATGTAAAGGATACGAGGTCATTCCTAGTTCTAGAGAATACATCAGACTCTTAAACAGATCCTCAGGAAGCTGGGGTATTTTTTCAGGAAAAATCTCACAAATAAATGTGATCAATTTGTAGTATTGATTACAAAGGGTTGGAAACTGAAAAAGAAATATTAAATATTTTGATATTTAATAAAATAAAACAACTAACAAACTTCTAAGTAGTACAATGATTTCTCGAGGATGTATTTAACATAAAAACACTAAGCCATAAAGAAATGTAAATAAGTTACAGGAAGGAAAGTTTTCAGTAGCTGTTATCAAAAAAAATACATAGTAGAAAGAATTATCTTCTGGAAGGCTAATAGGAAATATAGACAAGTCCTGATAGTCTATGTTGATCCTGAACAAATAAACAAGGCAGTCAAAAAACTAAATGATCCATTGTTAACGTGTTAATTTCCACATACGTATGTTAGAAAACATATTAAACTGTTAAAACTTGTGCATAATTAGAGTGGTCAGTCCTTTTCATCTTTCCACTTGGACAGCTCTGAAGAGCCGAGGGGAAAGTAGGCAGTCTAGTTTAACCACAAAGAAAATGTTTATGACTGACTCAATGGGACGGACAAACACTAAAAGCAAACCAGTGGACAAAGCTGGATAAACTCATTCTAAGAGTCGTCACAAAACCCAAGATTCATGGGTTGATAGGAACTGCCCAACAGACATTGCTCAGGGGAGAGTCTAAGGAGGCACCCCTAACTAACACTTCTGCTCCCCACCACACTACCTCTTTCCCACCCTTTATCACATACATAGGTGTGTGTACACGTGCATGTGATACATTCATAGACACACACCCTTTTCTTCCTTCTCCAGTGGATCCTTGTTCTTGACCTTATCCTTCTGTGATAACTTAAAACAAAAGACTTCTTCTCTCCTAGAGTACTTCTGGAAAGAGGAAAGGGCAACCTCAGTGGTCACCCACCTTTAATACCAACTGGTAGAACCAAGGCACAATACAGTCATAATGTGCAAAAAATTTAAAAATTAATTTTGGTTTCTACCATACCAATTCTACATGGAAGGGCTTGGAATATACCCACCACAGCTAGCTCCTTTGGTTGACAATGAAGTTTAAGAACAAAATGACAAATTCTAAGAAAATTAAAACTGCTAGCAGAACTGTTTTCCTGATGACATGAGTCACTAATTATCTGTACACAGAGGACTGGGGCATGTGCACTGAGAGAGAAGCACAATAAACTGAGTAGAAATACAAAGCTGTTAACACTCTTTGTGTTCATATTATTTTAATTACCTTCAAGAGATCTTGTGACATTAAGGGCAGAATGAGGTTCACTCCATATAAAACAACATCAGCTGCTGACACAGATCTGCCTGCTGCTTGTCCTGGCTCGTGTCCTCTAAACACTTCATCTATCAAAACAAAGAGCACACTGTACAGTCGTAACTTAAATCTCCAAAGCTCATATTCCTTTAGAAAAACACAAACATAGTCAAGCTCAAAGACCCAAGAAATCCATTTATGGGTAACGAAGAAATCTGATAAGCCCAAGCCAGGCCATCCTTTTGTATTATTTATTGGAGAATCTGAGCACCAGATACAATAACAGTGGATAAGTAAGGGCAACAGACGTTCTAGAAATCCAAGTTAACACAGTTGATGCTTTGGTATTTCACTCCAGCACCTCTATCTAGCTAATGAACTGTGAAACTAACAGGGCAGACAGCAAACAAGAAAAACAAACCAACAAAAGTCAACAGAGCAAGAACAATCTCAAAGACTGAACACAGTGACTATTGGAGGCTACTATAGCAACAGCTTGGAGAACCTTCAAAAAAATCAAAGGATATCTCTGACTATGAAGCCTGCATGACCTGAGGCAATGCTATATATGATACTTTCTCTTAAAAAGCAACTCTCTTATTTCAGGTTTGAAGGCAAAGTTAGCAGGGAGGTAAAGCTAACTAGTGAGGGAAGAGATATTTAAAAGATATGAAGACAAGAGTAAGCAATTAAAGGCATTGGGCGTAAACAGCCCCTCACCCTCTTGTTTCTGAAGCAGCTGCATTTCTTCCTGCCTATTTCTCTGAGAACAAACCTAGCAATGGCTTATGAAGGAAGTGGAGGCAAACTGCACAAATGTCTGAGCTTTACTGACTGACCAAGCTCTTCTCTGTAAGAACAAGAGCTTATCATCTTGTCTTATATACTGATTGCCAAGCATAGTACTAGCAAGACACAAATGTTCTAAAAGGTCTTTATTATCATACCCACTGATAGCAGAAAGGTGGAGATTAGCGTTCTATCCCCGTATTATGATACTGGAGAACTATGCTAGGTAGCCTATCAGGTCTGGAATCCAGTACTTCTTACCCCAGTGGGATTTCACATGTTGTATCTATAAAACACTGAGTTTGATGGGCAATCATCTCCAAGGGCATGAAAGAGCCAATGAAATATCACTCCAAAGCAGCGGTTCTCAACCTTCCTAATGCTACAACCCTTTAATACAGTTCCTCATGTTGTGATGACCCCCAAACAAAATTATTTCATTGCTACTTCATAGATGCAATATTGTTGCTACTACAACTATCTGATATGCAGAATATCTACTGCAGGGGTCATGACCCACTTTTGGAGGAAGCTGTTTGTTGGTTCCTGGCTGCCTAGCCCCAAAATAATAATACAAAAACTGTATTAATTAAATCACTGCTTGGCCCATTAGCTCTAGCTTCTTATTGGATAACTCTTACATATTAATTTACCCATTTTTATTAATCTGTGTATTGCCACGAGGCTGTGGCTTACCAGGAAAAGTTCCGGCATCTATCTCCTGTGGGGCTAGGTATCTTCTCTCTGACTCTGCCCTTCCTTCTCCCAGCATTCAGTCCAGTCCTCCCTGCCTAGCTCTGCTCTGGCCCACCCTGCTCCGCAATAGGCTCAAAGCAGTTTTTTACTCATTAATGGTAATCACAGCATACAGAGGGAACTCCTACAACATCCCACAGGTTGATAACCACTGCTCTAGAGAATAAGGTCCATAGACACATACAAGGATTTGAATGTGAGTTCAGACTTACTAACTACATGCATGTATGCCATTACTTCAGCAGTAAAGTGGGAATAGCAATGGCACCTTCTGCATGGTATTATGAGAAAAGCAGCAGCTGGCGTTTATTAAGAACTGCATAACTGGGAGAAAAAGAGGCAGAAGCCATTTCTTTTTTAGATAAAAAGCATGTGTGGTAGCTATAGAATAAATTGATTTTATACAGAAGAAAAAAAGAAGTGGATAAAAAAAGTTTACATTCATATTTAAGTAGACACGAGAAAGGTCTTCAGTTCCCCCTTCATTTCAACCAAAGGGATTTACTTCCATTTGTTCTCTAAGCTCAACTTCCTCATGGGGTTTTACTTCAAGAAAATAACCTGTAGTTTTAACAAAGACAGCAACAACAACCACTTCAAGAGACTTTACCTGTGTCACTGAAATCTATGAACTCCTTGGAGAGCAGGTTAGTGAGGAGCTCCATAATGAGAAGCAGGTCCTGGTACTGCTCTTCTTCCGCTGTAACATCTATCCTTTGCCGCCCTAGATTGTTCTTAGAATATACTTGCAACAAAGTAAGGCAGGCTTCATATAAATGCATAGCTTTGGACTGTAAGAAAATGAGGAGTGGTATTATCTGGTGGGATCTAGCAGAAAAGCCCAAGTTTACATATACTCTAAACTGCAATAGTAGCTCTATATAACAATAATGAAGGGTTGAGAGCTGGAGAAGTACTTGCCAAACATGACAACCTGAGTGCAGCACCATCCCCAGTGGTGCATGCTGGGGATCTTAGTACCAGGGGGAGGAGACAAGAGGGCCTTGCTAGGTGTGCTTGGCTTGGTGAGCTATACGGTCAGTGAGTCCTTATCTCATCAGAAAGTAAGGTGGAGAGAAATAAAGGAAGATACCCACCATTGACCTCTGAGACAGACAGACAGACAGACAGACAGACCACACACACACACACACACACACACACACACACACACACAGTATTAACAACGATAAAAAAGAGCTTTAATCTGAGCACTTGGGAGGCAGGAGGATGAAACTCTGTGAGTTTGAGGCCAGCCTTGGTAGAGAGACACATCTCAAAAGCAAAACAAACAACAACCCACAAAACAACAACAAAACCACCAAAGGTCAATAATAAAAGGATAATTATAGTAAGAGTACAGCAATATTTAATATATTAGCACCTCTCTAACAAAATTTGGAATAAGAACTTATATTCACCCCACACAACTTTCTATTTTGGAGAATACAAATATGCATTAAATGTGAAGCAAAAAATGAAGTAACATTGCTTCAGAGACTTGTAATCCTGAAGAAAGAAAACTAGAAAGAGCTTACCTCTCCAAGATAGCATATCTGTTTATGTGCAACTTCAACAAAAACTTCTATAATGAGATTGACAGTTTCTGGAGTATTTTTGTAAACTTCCATTAACCCAATGCAATTGTTAAGGAAGTCCATTAAAAAATTAAAAAGAATGGCTACATTGTCGATCTGGGTGGCCTCAGCTATGCCACACAGAGCCTCCAGTGTGGCAGTGATCTCCTGCTTGACTTCCTCCTGCTGACACATCTGCTGAAAGTTCTCTTGGTTGATCACTCTCAGGAATCGCTGCTGCAGAGGCTGAAGAACCTGTGGAAGTACATCACAGCATGACCTTCCGAACATGCAGACTGAGTCCTGCAACTTGGATGAACATGTTTCCCAAAAGTGTTCTCGTTTTTTTTTTTATCGAGACAGGGCTTCTTTGCGTAGCTCTGGCTATCCTAGAACTTACTCTATAGACCAGACTGGCCTTGAACTCACAGAGATCCACCTGCCTCTACATCTTGAGTGCTGGGACTAAAGGCATGAACCACCAAACCTGACTCCCAAAATATTCTTTATTGGAACAGGATAAGCACACAAAACAAGAACTATTTGAACCACTAAGTTCCCTACCCCATAAGTCTTTGAAACAATCTTGCTAGATAGCCCAGGCTGGTCTCGATTTCTCAGTGTTCCTGCCTGACTCCTAGGTGCTGCGATTACAGGTTTGAGGTACATTGTCCATTTTGAGAATCTTCATACCTTGTGCCATACACAAAAAAATGACACCAAAGTCACAGAATAGAGTTCTATGAATCTCATTCTTTGAAAAATTTTTATTCTCTCATAATTTCTTTCTAGTTTTTACTGCACCTAAGTGTTAACATCTGGTATCCACTCTACTGAGGCAAGGTATCTAGAGGAATCTAGCTCGTCCCAGGGATGCTCTCTTACACGTGCTTTAATGTAGTGCTGGCCCTCTGAGCTCTGGTCCTCATGTCTGGGGATAGTGCTTTCTCCACTTAGTCATTTTACCAGGCCCTATTTGTTTTGTTTTCTGATAGCACCACTGTGTGTCCCTGGTTGGCCTCAAACTGGTGTCAATCCTCTTGCCTCTGCTTCAGAAGAAATAAGATTACAGGTGTGTGTGTGTGTGTGTGAGCGTGCGTGTGCACACATGTGCATATGTACCACACTAGTTCATTCTTTAAATTCTGCCACTTCTCTCCACATTTTTCCAGGTGACTTGCTAAAGAATTATAAAGATGGGGGGGGGCACCTCAGAACTCCACAGTAGGGAATCAACAAACTTCTCTAAAGGCCAGAAAGCACGTACTGCACACTTTGCACTTCAGTGGACTCATATAAAGTCTGAGTACTAACTCAGTGACGGCTCACCTACAGACCAGCAGCCATGTTTGTTCTGTGAGTCAATTTGTCAGTTTCTAATGGAATATAGTTAAAAGGCCCTGGACTGTCCGTTTTTTCCTTCTACTTCCCTTTCCTTAAAATTCTTGGTATAAAACATAACTTCAGATAATCAGTCCTGCTCTGAGTGTAAAAAGGGCTGAAGAAATGGCTTAGTTGGTAAAGCACTTGTCAAATATGGTGGTTTGAGTGAGAATGGTCCCCATAGGCTCATATATTTAAATGCTTGATTCCTAGTTGGTGGAACTGTGGTAAGGATTAGAAGGTGTGGCCTTGCTGGAGGGTGTGTGCCATCCACACTATTCCTACTCTGTCTTCCTCTGCCTCATGGTTGCTGTCTCAACATGAAAACTACTGCTCCAGTGCCATGCTCCCCACTATGATGGTCATGGACTCATCCTCTGAAACTGTGTACAAGCACCCAATTAAATGCTTTCTTATAAGTTGCTTTGGTCATGGTCTGTTTTTACAGCAAAAGAACAGAAAAGTAACCAAGTCACCACATAAAGTACAAGGACCTGAGTTCACACCCCAGTACTGATGTATAAAATATCTATAATCCCAGTGCTGGGGAGACAGAGACAAGATGCCCAGAGTTTGCTGGCCAGATAGTCTAGCTGAAAACAGTTTCAGACACAGTGAGAGACCTACCTCAAACATATAGAGCAACTGAGAAAAATGATTGCGGTCAACCTCCAGCTACATGGGTACACTTATATGTGGTAGACATATACACATTCATGCAAGTGCTCACAGAACCAGAGGCATTAGATCTCCTAGACCTGGATTTATAGGAAGCTATGAGCCACCCAAAGTGGATGCTGGGAGCCAAACTTGTGTGCTTAGGAAGTAGTGCATGTTCTTAACTACCAAAACATTGCTATGGACCCAGGGACGAAAAATAAAAAACTCTGCCTGTTTTACCTTAGCTATAAAGTCACAGACACCTTACCTTCACAGATATTAAGACCATCTAGGCTGGGCATGGTGGCACACACCTATAATCCCAGCACTTGGGAGGCAGAGGCAGATCTGTGAGTTTGAGGCCAGCCTGGTCTACAGAGGAAGTCCCAGGAGACAGGGCTACACACACACACACACACACACACACACACACACACACACAATCTGTCTTGAAAAACAGAGAGAGAGAGAGAGAGAGAGAGAGAGAGAGAGAGAGAGAGAATGAATGAGAATACTTTAGAAAAGAGGGGAGTGGGGGTGAGAGAACACTGTAGAAAAGGACCAGAAGCCAGACCTCTATACATACACTTGATTCAAGTTATAAATTATTACAGAAAGTGCCCATGCTATGGGTTGAATTAGAACCTCAGAAAGTGACCTCAATTGGACAAATTGAGATACAGTAAATTAGGATTCAGTCATACTGAAAAGTGAGCCTCTACTCCAAAATGGTATCTTATGCTCTGAGAAAACTGGAATGCAGAGTACAGAGAACTTGTGACAAAAGCAGTGTCAAAGGTTGTCACTAACTACCAGAAGCCACGTTCCTGCAGACCTTAGAAACAATGCATGCCTTCCATGGACACTTAGGCAGACTCCTAAATAAATGCAAGACAGAGTCTGTTGCTTAGGTCACTGTGGTAAGAGAAGTGCTAGAAAACAAATACACTGCAATTTGCATCTCCTTTTCAAGGCGAAGAATGCCTGTGGTTCTTCATGTCAACTTCTTTCTTTCAGTTTTTGGGGAGAGGCTGACTAACCTAAGGCCTTGGCATGCTAAAGCTAGTGCTCTATATCTGAGATACCCACCATGCTTTTCATATTCTGATAAAGATACTCCAATTCATGCTCTCATCTAGGTTGGGGAAAATGTACCTGAGGCCTAGAAAACATCAGTAATACTCAATGTGTCAAACAAACATGGCTGGGTAAGCCCTGAGACAGTAGTTATCAAGTAATAAGGTTCAAATGGTTGATGAGGAGGAAGAACACAAGGTAAGTTATTGTGAGGTGTTTATGTCTCCAGACCATTTTCTAACATCTGCAGGGTGACAGAAGAATCAAAAGTGAAGAGATTTTTTTTTTTTTTTACCTCTGTCCAATACTGCTGCTTTGTTTCTGTGTCCATATGTGCAAAACCTCCCAAGACCAAAGCCTTCATCAGTGTCCTCTGTACTGGGCTTGACAAGAAATTAAGAGGTGGGCTTCGGCTTGCAAACTGCTTTGCTAGGTTCCACCAGTTTTCACACTGAATTACTAAGTTTGCCCTACAAATAGAAATAAAACATTAGGTGTGTTTTGTTCACACACACACACACACACACACACACACACACACACACACACACAAGATAAGAACCAGACAGGGCTGGATAGCTGGCTCAAAGATTAAGTAAGAATGACTATTGCAAAGGACCTGTGCTCAGTTCCCAGCACACACGTGGTGGTGCATAGCCACCTGTAATTCCAGTTTTTGATGATCTTTCCAGGTATGTATAGACACGTGTTGCACATGAACTCACGCAGGCAAAAAACACATTTAAAAGGGGAACATTTAATTCTAAAATCTGCTAAGGCAAACGCTGCTGTGTTACTCAGGTTGGCCACATTATTGTAATCTTTATACCTCAGCCTCCTGGGCACTGAGAATATAGTATGACTGCATGAGATTCCTAAAAACGTTTTGTATGTAAGTATGTGGGATGTGTATAGGTGCCGAAAGTGCCAGAAGATGACACTGGGTCCCCTGGAGATGGAGCTACAGACAGTTGTGAGCCACCCAGTGTGGGTGCTGGGAACCAAAACTGAGTCCTTTGGAAGACATCGGGCGCTCTTAACTGCTGAACTGTTTCTCCAGCCCCTGGATGTAATTTTAAAGAACAGCATCACAAGTGCACATGGACTCTGCAGCTACACTGGTTTTTATTTCAACCCCAATAATTGCTCAAGAACATAGAATTTTTTACTTAAGTGTGTTTATCATCAGTTTTCTGACTGCAAAAATGAGAATGGCTGTATAACCATTTCTTTGTGAAGAGGTTCAGGAAACTTCTAAGAGTAAGAAGCTCCCAGCTTCTATCTGTGGTGATCAACTGCTGGCTGAGTGGTTGCTCTATGCTCTGGATGCCCCCAATTGTGTAAATGGTGAACTTTCAAGAGTCACCCACCGGGAGAGTGTGTTTTTTGGTGATGCAGATGACCTGCAAACAACCCCTCCCCCCACTCCTATAGGTAACTCTAATAAATTCACTGCTTCAACAACCTGGACTCGTTCCTTAGTCTGTTGGTGCCCTCTCTATTTGGAAGAGGTAGAGTCAGGTTCTCTGGGGAAAGCAAGGTGACAGGTGCAGTCAGCTCTGAATCTCATGCTCAAATGAGATCTGATGTGGGTGTCCTACTGTATATGTGTTGCTTTACTGGTTGATGAATAAAGCTGTTTTGGTCAATGGCTTAGCAGAGTGAAGCCAGGTGGGATATCCAGAGTTAAAGAGAAAGTGGGCAAAGTCAGGGAGATGCCACGTAGCAGGCTATGTAGCTGCCGAAGGAGAAGGACACACCGGAACCTTAGGACCCTTACCAGTAAGCTACAGCCTCCTGCTGATACACAGATTAATAGAAATGAGTCAATTTAAGATTTCAGAGTTAGTTAATAAGAAACCTGAGCTAATATACCAAGCAGTGTTGCAATTAATATAGTTTCTGTGTGATTATTTGGGTCTGGGCGGCTGCGAACAAAGAGCAGTCTCTGTCCACAGAGATCTTTTATGTGCAATGCTCAAATGGGAATTACTGAGTCAGCCGGGGTGGCACATGCCTTCAATCCCAGCATGGAAGACAGAGGTAGGTCGATCTCTGAGGTGAGGCCAGTCTGGTCCGGGACAGCTAGGGCTACACAAAGAAACCATGTCTCAAAGAAAAAACTAAAAAAGTGTGAGTGTGTGTACACGCACATATGTATGCATGTGGGGGACTGAAAAATATCAAATGAGAATATTAATACATGAAAGTGGGGTTTTTGTTTTATATGTTTGAGTGTTTTGCCCGCACATATGTCTGGGAAAATTGTGTGTGCCTGGTATCCAAACAGGCCAGACAAGGGCATGTTTGGAACTGGAGTCACATACAGTTGAGAGCTACCACTTGTGTACTGGGATCAAATCAGGGTCCTCTGGAAGAGCTGCCAATGCAGTTCTCCACTACACGGGTAAGCTGCCATTTGCATCTGTAACAACACTGTGATGAGGTTTTAAAAGCACTACTCTGGAAATGTAGGTTCTAACCGGGCTTATATATTGCTACAATTTGCTAGTCACTAAAGAGCAAACTGAAATCTGTGTTCCACCCGACTCCTTACCTTTCTCTTCTTTCGACCAATGTGACAAGGAGCTGTACAGTGTCATTTGCAAGGTCTTGCTCACTACTCCAGACTGACAGATTGCTGATGACCTTCTGTAAGAGGTAGCCAATAATCCACTGGGAACCCTCTGTATCTGCTCCAAAGGCTGTGCTCAATGGCAAACTTATCTTAAGAAAAGAGATACATTTTCTAAGGTCAGAATGAGTAGCTAAAAAGCAAATCTACACCAAAACTACCATCAAAGCCTGAGGGGGTGCTCACTTCATATCACTTTTATCATTTTTCATTTGAATCAAAAAGATAATCCCCAACCCATCCGAGCTTTTCAGCTAATTTTTCTGTCAGTTCAAGTCTCATAGTAATTATTAACAAGCTGACATTTAAAATAAATACAGACATACAGATCTCAGACAATATATAAACATATTAATCAATGGTGGTGCATCTTAATACATCAATGGAACCAAATCAACGCTCTAAGAAAAGTAATATAACAGCACTTCAGTCCCAAGTCTCTCCCAGCTCTTTATTTTTAAGAAAGAGTTTCTCTGTGAGTCCTGAAACACTGTAGAGACCAGGCTGGCCTTGAACTCCAAGATCCACCTGCCTCTCCACTGATCCCTGCTAACAGTTCCGTTCTTTTTTTTTTATTTATTTATTTATTAAAGATTTATGTCTCTTCCCCACCACCACTTCCCATTTCCCTCCCCCTCCCCCAATCAATTCCCCCTCCCTTGTCAGCCCAAAGAGCAATCAGGGTTCCCTGCCCTGTGGGAAGTCCAAGGACCACCCACCTCCGTCCAGGTCTAGTAAGAGGAGCATCCAAACTGCCCAGGCTCCCACAAAGCCAGTACGTGCAGTAGGATCAAAAACCCATTGCCACTGATCTTGGGTTCTCAGTAGTCCTCATTGTCTGCTATGTTCAGCGAGTCCGGTTTTATCCCAGGCTTTTTCAGACCCAGGCAAGCTGGCGTTCTTATAAGTAAAACAAAAATCTTACCTCCAAACTTGCCATCATCATAAACTCAAAAAGAGTTACCAGTTTTACATCCTCACCTGATCATACAGTTTTTCATCTACCAGGAGATAAGTCTTGGCCCAGCGTTTTAGAAACCAAACAATATCTTTGCCCATTTGAGGGCTTAGTAGGTGAGTGAGATCTGCTCTTATTGCTCGAGATTCAACTTCTGAGACTCTTAGCACTGCAGACAACAGCCTGTGGGGAGAAAACAGAAGTTGCTAACCCTATTTTTTTCTCCATAAAAATCTTTTGTTTCTTTATGCCAGGCTATGTGTAAAAGTTCCCAATAGAGTTAAAGATAAAGTACCCACACTATTTCTGGTCTTCCAGAGTCAAGAAAGAGGAGAGATGAGAAACACTGTCTGCTCGGGCTATAACTGCAGATGTAAATCTCAGCATCACTGTCTAGAGAGTGGCTCCCAGTTCAAAATGGAGGAACACACAGAATTAAATGTTCATAGTCTAAGCCCACGTTTCAGCACTCTTCCAGTAGGCAGGTTAAATGTTTGTATCACAAAAGACAAGTCTTGTTATGCTTTAAGATCTGAGAATAGATTTATTAGAATGTCATAAGTACTGAGCCTTGTCTACAAATCTCATGGCCCAGCATACTGTCTCATAATCTTTATTCCTAATGGTATCTTAAAATAAGCCTTCCCAGAACGATTACATAAGTACACATATGGGAATGGGGAAGTAAGATACCAGAAATCATATATTTCAACTTGACTTTAGCCAAAAGACAAGGAAGCACAGGTTGTAATAAACATCAAGGCCAAGACTAAGATGTTAATAACTACAGTTTGGCCTCTGCTCTCAAGAGGGCTGAAATCCTGTGTAAGCAAACTGGTGGACATGTGCATTCTTTATTGACCCTCTGACCTCTCTCACCAAGAAGTACTCAGTGCTATTGTCCACCCTGCCCTTTCGAAAGAGCTCCCTTCCTTGGCTGCCTGGGCACCACTTCCCACATCCCCCTCATCTATCTGTTTACTATTCCTAGTCTTTATTAAAGATTCTTCTCTGGACCTTCTTAAATCAAGAAAGTTTCCACCTAAAACACCCCCCCTCACTATTTACATGTTTTTCATAAACCAGTACTCAAACTTTCTAAATTTCAGAACAAAATTTGTGAACAAAAATAAGAGAAATCCTAATAACCTCATGTTTTATCAATAATGATGCATTGATAAATTTCCCTTAAGATTAAAAAAATTTAAATATAATTTAAAGCCTAACAGAATTCGAAATCAAATGGTTATATTAGTACTTTAAAAGTATGTACTGCAACTCAATCTTTGCAGTGTTGAATGTCACTGTTTATTCAAAAGAAATAAAATTCCTTTATTTGAACTTTATTTCCCCAAAGAAAATTATTTACCAATTACATGCTTTTCTTTGATACAAACATTTATATATTATACTTCACATGAATTTCCAATGATAATAAAACTATAAGTATTTTAAGTCTTCTAGATTGACTTATTACTATTGTAATACTTAGCATACAGGAGAACAAAATATAACACAAATTTAAATTATGAAACAATTTCCTCCAGTGCCAGGGCTCCAATTCAGAAGTTTGTACAGGCTGGGCAAGTGGTCTACCACTGAGCTACAGTCTCAGCCTTATTTTGAGTATTTCTTGGGGATAATACAGAAGGGTTTTATGTCTCCTACTAAGTTTATCTACTTGTGAATAAATATTACTTATTGCCAGAATGAGTCAAAGTTGAGCCAAAGTTGGTTCCTTTCTCATTTAAGAGATGTAAACACTGGAGAGAAAAACAAAACAAAACGCTCCCATTAAAAAACAGAAGTTATTTTTTCAACACCAAGGTTATCCACTATTTGAATTACTTACAAGTCATATGACAAAACTCAAGATCATCCCAGCTGACCCAGCACTGGGTCCCCTTTCGGTGTTATGTGATGCAATGAACCGCATCCTGGCTACACAGCCATCACCAACAGGCAATCTGGAACTGCCTTTTCCTTGTACTCTATGGGCACCCATACACTGCAAGTCCATAAAGAGAGTGAGCTCAAGTTTCTTTCATCTAGTGAAGAAAGGTGAAAGGGTAGAAGCAGCAGAGGTCAGGCAGCCCTAGGGAGTCTTCCCTTCTCTATGCGCCATGCCCAGAAATCAGCAGTAGCCTGGAGAGCTCTCTCAGAAACCCTTCTCAAAACTCAAGGGCCAGTTTCCATCTTCTTCCCAAGACTGAAAAGCAACTGCTTCCCACAGTGCCCCTGTCACATCTAACTCCACCTTCCACAAGACAGCAACTCTACACAACAGTTTACTTCCTTCCTGCAAATGCACCTTGCCTCACCTATGAGAACCAAGGCCTCTCCAACCCAGTCAGTCACACAGGTACACAAGCTCTTTTCTCCTGCCTCTTTCCTCTCACTGCCTGACACTCTGTCTCTCCCACGCCACCCTGATGTACTTACTCTTAAATCTCATCAAAAGCTGGAGTTGAAGAAACAACTGAGCCAAATACTTTTTAATTGTTAATATTTCTTGATCAGTACCTGAGTCAAGCATCCTGTCATGAATACTTTATATACCAGGCAGCACTCGGTTTCCCAAATTGGTCCTGTATTACATTTGCATCCCATAAATCAGAAGTTATCATGATGAGCTAGCCCTTAACTTAGTCTTATAAGGAACACTGCCCTAACGTAGTCTGAACATTGCCATATCTCTCTTTGATAACCATGACTAGACCCGGAGGCAGTCCCCCCACTTCCAACATGCACTCTAATCATGGTAATCGGGGAATGTGCTATAATGTGTGACTTATCCCCCATTCAGACCTTACGGTAGCACCCCCATCTTCTGCAGCACAAAGGTGTCTCATAAGACATATAGACTATACCTCTTTCCCTCCTTACTTATTTCTGCAAGTCATCTCTTACAAAACCCTCTCCACTCTAGCATCTTGGCTGCTGTGCAAGAACACCAGGATTGACTGGTCTTTGCATTAGCTATTTTACTTTATTTTTGTTCTGCCTAGAATGCTCTTACCCTGGGCACCTTCAAGATTCCCTGACCAACCTCAATCCTTGCTCAGAAATCATCTAAACAAAGGCCACGTGGATCACACTGCTTAGGATTATATCAGCCCCTGCAGGAGTCTGAGCTTCAGCTGCCCCGCCCTACTTGGCTTTTCACCCACAATGCTTTCTGTCCTCCAACACATCCCATCATTTGTTGAGTTGCTCTCCCTTACTAAGAACTCTAAAAGCGGAGGGGACTTTGCTTGTTTTGTTCAAGAATGTATCCCATTGGCCCTCAAAGTGTTCAACCGATAAAGATACTTGATTCATTCTTAAATGACAGTTTCTTCAGAAATACGGACTACATTTTTAGTGAAGCAAAGGTTGTTTCTCCCATATATCAAATCAATTTTACACTAACTCTTTAGATTAAAAAAAAAAAACTAGCTATTACATTTTCTTTCTTTCCTCCCTCCCCACGCCCCTTCCTGAAACAGAGTTTCTCCATGTAACAGCCCTGGCTGTCCTGGAACTAGCTCTTGTAGACCAGGCTGGCCTCCAACTCACAGGCCTATCTTTGCCTCCTTAGCCCTGAGTTTAAAGGCATACATCACCACTACCCAGTTTATATATATTTTTTAACACTCCTCAAATTTGTGCTCTCAAATATGAAAATGATTTGCTCCCACAGATACCTGGGACATGTAGAAACTGAAAAAGCACTTTTAATACAAGGAAAATTTTTCTAACAGCACTTACTGCAAGAATTAGGACAAAGCAGCCACGGCACAGCTCTGAAATAAACAGTCCTAGAAATAACATTCACCAGGATATGTACCAAACAAAATAACAAAATCTAATCACAACCGTAACCTCAAAAGAAAGAAACCTTTGCTTAAGAATTCCGATATTTAGGGCAAACAAGAGAATGTACCAATAAAGGAAATAAGGCCCCAAACATTTCCTTGGTATCATCTTATTATTCGAACTTTAACGAAAACAGAAAACTGTATCTTCTATTGCAGAGCTTTAAATGCCCACACATGTTTGCATTAAAAATAAAGGTGGGACAAAACCGTGAATAACTGCAAAAACCAACTGATGCCGTTGTCATCCCTACAATCTCTACCAGCAACTAAGACTCAAAGACAATGAAAGAAAATGTAAAACCATTTCCAAATCTATTTCTAAGACTACGATTAATTCAGATTTACCTTCTTTAACTTCATCATCAATAATTGATGGAAACATTGCCATTACTAATAGGAAGACAAAGTGAATCCTCTCAGAGGCACTCTTGCTGTCTTGTAAATGCTGGGGACTGGGCTCTCAAGTTTCACATATTTAGGATAACTTTTTCTATGATACAATAATGACAGTTTTAAGAAGCCACGAACACAGTTTCCATATGCATAATCAAAGTATACTTGCTAAGGCTCATCTGGTTTCTAGGAACTGTTTTTCCCTCCTGAAGGGTGCTTATACAAACATATTACTGCTTACTGATAGACAAACACTGTGTTCTTAGTAAATTAGAGTGAATGCCACTTCCAAGTGTCGTATTCAGAATCATTTTACATTTGTTCTTTTCAGTACTAGATAGCCCTGACAATTCCTGCCAGCATGCCCTTGCCTTCCTTATGTCTTGAGGCTTCTCCAAGTTCTCATTTCTTTCATGTATCCAGTTTGCAGCGTGTCTACCCCTCCAGTCATCTACCCATCAACTCAGAGTTTATGAGACAGCATAAATTACAAGAGCGCAGCTATAGAGTTCATATTACCTAATCACAGAATCTGTTCTGCTGTACCCTGGGATGGAAGAAGCCTTTTCTCCTGGAGATCCCAAAATTTGAAGTGTTGTATTAATGTCAACTTCAGATGAATGCTTAATGGAATATTCCATTATTTCTGGAGGTATTAGCGGAGTCTCTCCCTGAGTATCATCAGCTAAGAGGTAGCCTTCAGTTTAAAAAAAATTAAAAATGAACACTTAACAAATCTATTTACCAAATTGCACTATAAATGTTTTCAGTTTTGATTTATATACATCACATAAGTTGATGTAAAAGTAAATTATGTTAACTTGTTAATTTCAAGATGAGGTGCAGAAACTGTCAATTTCTCAGAAAATGAAAACCCTCAAAAATACAGCAAAGGTAAAGGACAAATGTTTTAGTCATCAATCTCATAATGCATGGTGACATGTAGGCTTTGAAAACTTCAGTAATTTATTCTGTCAAGTTAATGGGAATTCTGCTATTGTATCAGGAATCTATTCATACTTAACTATTTAAAAGTCAAGTCTTTTTCCCCTTGATTACAATATAGAAACACTAATTAGGTCTAGTGGTCAAGGAAAAGACCCTAAAAGTCAAACTGCCTAGATTTGCATTCTGGCTCTAAAAATTAACTGCAGTATGACCATTTCTTATACTTTCAGCTTCTCCATGTTAGTTGGGGATGATGATGATGATTAGCACCACTCAGCAATACTAATTCAGTGGGCTACAATGAGATCCAAAGGAAACATTTGTTATACAACAGGCCCTGAATATGACAGCCAGTGGTTTTTAAAAATATATCTATATCTATTGCTATGTCAGCAGCAGCTGTATCTAAGTTTCATTTAACACTATGTATGAACTATATATATTTTGTTATTGTTTTGAGATTGGGTCTCCCTAGTAGCCCAAGCTGGCCTCAAATTCACAACCCTCCTATCTCAATCTCCCAAGTGTGTTGAAATTACACATCCAGCTATAAACTATTATTCTTAATATATGAGGCTTCTTTTAGGGTTTAAATGTTTCACTGGCAACTACATTTAAGAAGAAAGAAGTAACTAACCTGTAACTAAAATAAGCCAGTGAATATCTTCGTAGAGATCATCAAGCATTTTGTGGTCAATGGTGCTCGATCCAGGGGAAGCCAGTAACTGTTGCTGATGTCGTTGTAACTGACCATGGAGTCTTGTTACCCTTTCTTCTAATAAACTAAAAGAGGAAAGAAACAATAGCTTCATAAAGTTCAGGATAGGAAGGCTTAGGAAAATTGATAACTTCCATATAACCAAATAACATAAACTGAGATGTTTGCACAAAATATACCCATTCAAAAAATATTATGGTACACAACTGTTCAAGTGCACTAGAGGATTGTAATCTCTATTTTATGACATAGAATTAAAATAACACTTCACAAGCAAACAATGTTTATGAAAGGCATCTGAATCTGGTTGTTCCAAGTCACCTTTCATGCCATGTTTTCCATAATTCCTATCATTTATGTTGTAGTGCCTGAGCTGCAATTTTACTGCCAAAGAATGCAGTTATGACACGCTTCTGTCCACTGGATCCAGTGTGCTGGACACAGGGTGGGGGATGTTTAAAGCTCTCTAGGTCACTGTGAACAGAGAGCACTTCTCCATGGGGTTTCCGGGACTGTGTGTACCTTGTCAGAAGAGGCATACAGTGTTCGGCAGCAATTCTTCCTAGCATTCCTACACTGGCTAACTGATCAGAAAACTGGTCTCGGTCATCTTCTTGAAGCTCGCTTATTTCTTCTTCCTCACGAGAGGCCACACCATTGGCAGTCTATTTGGTGGAAGGAGGAGAAACATGAGGAAATGCAGCACCATGTTCCACAAAGCATGTGTCTGTGGCCCTGTCACGTGGCTTTAGGAGGAGCTGGACAGAGCCAACATGCATTTCCAGCTTTCTAGGACACCTCTCTAACCACGACAGCAGCCCCGGTATCTATCAAAAGGATGAGGACAGCACTGAAGAGAAGGAAAGAAAAAAATCCTCCCCTGTGTACACGGTAACATAGCTAGCTACAAAACCTACACTTCACCCCGTATACTGGGGATTTCCATTTTTCATTAAAACAATTTGGCATCTTAAGATTCCCTAGACCTTTGAATATAGGATGTTATTAATATAGGATGTATTTAATATAAAAGACGTTACCAGGAACCTGGCAATACAGAAGTAACTAACTGGAAACATAAATAGGTGATTATACGTAACAGCTCACAGTTAAAGAACCAGTAGATAAAACTAAGAAACTTTTCTCTCAGCAAATCTTTGAGGAAACCTATCCAAAATTTCTAGTATTTTCTATTGTCTAATATGATAGGGACTATGGTGATTTTCCACTCCACCTGTCTTAAAACTTACCAAATTCCTTGTGCCATCTGGAGCAGCAAGGTGGCACTGAATATAGGAATTGAAAACTTGAACTGCATGCTGAGTAAAAAAACCTTTATGGAAATGCTTGTCATCTTGGACCAAAGTTAGCCAGGACTCCAGCAATTTATCATATGCTTCCATGTATACCATGTCATCCTTATCAAGCTACAAGAAAAGAGCATTCATAAAACAAACGGGCAGTACAAGAGTTACATAGCTATGCACAAAAACAATTTAAAAAATCATGCTAGAAGAAAAGAATCTCTAAGTATCAAGCATTTATTAAGTTTTCTAAAATTTTACTAAATTACAAAAGAAATAACTATTTGGCAATATGAAATTAACATTTAATTTAAAAGACTGACTGATCAGTGCTTTAAGAAAAATGTATTTTCTAAATAAAAGTAATATTGACTACTTGAAAAGCTAAGAAAATTGCATATACACCACACATATAAAAATAAATACTTCTGCATATGTTTTTCCAGTACTGAGATAGAATCCTGAGCCTCATGTATACCAGGCAAGCACTCTACCACTGGGCTACAAACTTCAATCCTAACATTTTCAAGTAACTTCAAAATCAGTAAAAACAAACTGACCTAATCAGGTAGCTAAGAATTATATGGGGAAAACGTCACAGAAGTTCCTTAACAAGAAAGAATTTATTTTAGTAAAAAATGACAGCTAATTCCACATACTAGGAGAGAATATAGTAAACAAACAAACAAACAAACAACAGCAACAACAAAAACAATGGCCACTGACTCAGCTCATACTATCAGAAACTGTCAAAGATATCTCAGCACCAGAGTTAGCTAAGTATTTACAACTATAAAGATGAAGCCAGGCCTGATGGAGCACACCTTTAATCCTGGCACCAGAAAGCAGAAGCAGGTGGATCTCTGTAAGTTCTTCCTTTTCATTAAAGTTCTTTACTACCAAGGAGAATATGTAATAAACCAGAAAACGGAATGAGCAGGTAAAACAAACAAACAAACCAAGAAGAAGCCAGGCCTTTCCTCACCCATCCAGCTGAGCCTCTGCCCCCCAGGGGCACGCACATAACCATCCCACAGATTCGTCCACTGGTAAGACCACCATGCTGCACAGACTGCCAAGGTCTTAACTAGTTCAGACAGTTATTAATAATTTTCATTTCCCGTTTTTTCTTGTTCACAAATAGCTACTATTTCTCAGTTACACTTTCAGACCAAAACTACACCATTGAGACAAAGAATTTTTCAAGAAATAGACACACAAATAACAGACTACAGAGTTATTTGTGGTATAAAATCCCTCCCTAGATTGATCTAATATTCTGCTGAAGGACACTGTACTTAAAAAGCTGCAATGACCAGGAGGCGTGGATAACTTGGAACCGTAGCAGAAGATGCCAATGCAACTGAGAAGACACTGCCCCTGCATACGGAGTGGGATGAAAGGAAGGAACATATCAAGATGGCTCAGGCAATCAGGCTTCCCTCTTATTTGCAGCAAAAAGCCACTGTATTACATGCAACGAAAGTACATGATACCAAACCATTTTGTTGTTGTTGTTTTAAAGAAAACCACATTGTCTGGCAGTGTCTCAGGTAAATATGATCAAAGTATGTTAAACACGTGTAAAAACTGTTCTGTTTTGTTAGTATATACTACTTTTAAAAAGTCAGAAAAAAACAAAACAAATGAACAACAACAAACCAGTGCTAAAAAGCCAAAGGACAATATTGGTTATAAACAATGGGAAAGGGAGCTCTGTTCCTTCTACATTTCATCAAATGCTGAGAGCTAAGCACGGAATCCTGAAGTGAACAGGATATGTTCTTCCCATAGAAACAACTGCGGCTTGTTTGTAGACTTAACAAGGCATGTGCTCTGCAGACATCATTTGTCAGGTCTTAACAGTTTATCTTGCCAAAATAAACATGTCTAACAGGACTGAGGGGGAGCATCCCCTGAACTAGACTCACAAAGAGAAAAGCAGGACATTCTTAAAGATCAACTATCATTTTTCTGAGTGCATATTTAAGATATGCATCAAAATGTAAAAGTAGTTTTTAAAAGTTAAAGCCTCACGTGCATATTATTAAAGGAATTCTTCACAATGCCTTTATTAAGCACTGATATTAGAATGATCTCAAACAGAATGCACAAGTCCCTTACACATTGGATGGCGATTTAAAATAAAGATGGAGCTTCTTGAAAAAAGAAAAACAATAACAGAAAACTCTGGTTCTCTACGTATACCAAAAAAGTAACTCATCAGGCAAAGTGTGAGAAATCTGGTTGATAACAATTGGCAACTGGATCTTCCAGTCTAATCCCAGAGAAGTGAAACCTAAGCTAGTGCTTTTTCATAATATCTTGGCTCTGCTCCATGGCCACTCTGGCCCAAACCCAGGAGCCCAGCCAGCAGCCTGGCTGGCAGCATGTGGACAGATGACTAAGAAGACCAATCTAGACACTATGTGCTCATGCTCTGAGCATTGTAGGCCTACTGCCAGAGGCTTTCGAGAGGGGCTTAGAGCTTATGGGACCTACTTGACCCCACTTTACTCTATATGAATTTGAAGGGGGAGTAGAAATGAAAACATGATTATCAGTACTTCTCTCTGCCTATAACTAGCCTGAAGGTGTAGAGAAGCATGGATATGAAGTGCTTCAAACATAGAAAAATGTACATTTATGCTTTGACAATTTTGAATATATAATTTCAAAAATAATGAAATGTTCTCTCAAATGAATGTCTGGAAAGAACTCTTTCAGTACAGAAAATCTGCTCTGGCCCATGCCTGACAATGAATGTAATTTCAGAGATTAAAGCTCAGTAGTATTACATGATTCCAAGAAGAGGACATTCTGAGATGAAGATTACAGGGACAATAATAAGAGTAGTAGGGCTGGACACAGTGGTGCACATGTTTAAATCCCACTACTTGGGAGGCAGAGGCAGAGAAAATAGTTGGGGCGAGAAAAGTAGAGTAGAGAGAGGAAAGAGGGTGAGGAGGAGAGAGGAAAGAGCGTGAGGAGAAGAGAGGAAAGAGCGTGAGGAGAGAGGAAAGAGGGTGAGGAGGAGAGAGGAAAGAGCGTGAGGAGAGAGGAAAGAGGAGACAAGAGGAGGGGAAGAACAAAGATCGCCCAGGGGTCTCCACAGCCTGGTGTAGAAGGATAAACAGGTGAAGCACAGAGGATTTTTACAGCAGTCAAGCGACCTTTACCCACTAAGTCACCTCACTAGTCCCTTATTTCTATTTTAGATGTTGTATTAAAAAAGAGCAACTGGAGCTAGATGGTGATGGTGCATGCCTTTAAACCCTGCACTCAGGAGGCAGAATTAGGTTGATTTCTGTGAGTTCTAAGACAGCCTGGTCAATGTAGTGAGTTCCAGGACAGCCAGAACCTACATTTAGACCCTGTTTATAAAAATAAATACATTAAAAATAAATAAATAAATAAATAAATAAATAAATAAGGAATTTACACCAGCAGAAATAAGCTCTATGGAACTCATGTCTGGGCTCACAACAACCATGTGTCAATGCAGACGCACCAATAATAATACATATACCACCAGGTTCTAGGCTTGATGGGGCAGATTGATGGTAAGGAGAGAAGTATATGAGGTCATTCTATATTTTCACTGTGAACTTAGAGGTACATTAAATATAGTCTTTATATCGCTACCTATTTATTTTTTAAAAAAATTTTATTTATTTATTTATTTATTATGTATACAATATTCTGTCTGTGTGTATGTCTGCAGGCCAGAAGAGGGCACCAGACCTCATTACAGATGGTTGTGAGCCACCATGTGGTTGCCAGTAATTGAACTCAGGACCTTTGGAAGAGCAGGCAATGCTCTTAACTATTGAGCCACCTCTCCAGCCCCCACTACCTATTTACATAAATCTAGTATAAGCTATTTTGAAAGTATACAAATACACATTATACTAAGGTAGTTACAAATTTGCTTATAATCGGCAAACAACTCCCAATCTATCCCTAACAGTAATGACACTATCCACAACCCACACCCCTGTGCTTTTTCCCATAGAGAGTAAATAACCAATACGACAGATCCAAATTTTCCCCATGGAATCAGAAAGCGCTTTCTTCTTTTTTGAGAGAGGGTCTCTCTATGAAGCCCTGTAAGCTGTCCTGGATCTTAAGTAAACCAGGCAGGCCTAGTTTCAGAGACCCTCTGCCCCTGAGTTCTGGATACTGGTATTTGCCTGGCTAGAAAGCACTTTCTATTGAATATCAAACGTCTTTTACTTCCTTTATTCACACCACCCCATTTTCAAAGTAATAAACTGTGAACTCAAGGCCTCAGGCATGATGGACAAGTGCTCATACACTGAGCTACATTACCACCCTGACTAATCGGTCTATTGCTGTGAAGAGGCACCGTGACCAAATCTTATAAAGAAAGCATTTAACTGAGGCTTGCTTCCAGTTTCAGAGGTTCGGACCATCATCATGGTGGGGAGCATGACAACATGCAGGCAAACATGATGCTACAGAAATAGCTGAGAGTTCTACATCTGGATCCACAGACAGCAGGAAGAGATAGCCACTGGGCCTGGCTTGTGCCTTTTAAAACCCCACCATCCACCCCCAGTGACATGCCTCCTAATCCCTCTGAAGTAGTGGCATTTAATGACTATGCACTTCAACACAAGAGCCTATGGGGGCCATTCTTATTCAAGTAACCACACAGTCCCCGGCTATTTTCCTAAGTATGGTCATGTACATAAAAATATGCAATGAAATTGATGTGAACAATTAATTTCACATAGAATTTTATATTTAAGGATAACTTCTAAGGTGTCCTTAGACTTACTAAACCCCAGAATTTCCTATTCCAGCCTATAAGAACTTTGAGAAAGGAAAAAGTCAATTACCACAGAAGACAGTAAGATAAAGTGCCAGGTACACCAGTTGGGAAATCATTAGCAGCATCTACTTGTAGACACGATGAGAAGATCATTTGGCAGAAGCAAGTTATATAACAAAAGCCAAACCACAGGAGCAGGAGGGGAACAGGGAACCATACCCGCCCACAGATAAATATAAGTGAGAAAAGGGCTCCATCCACATACTATTTCTAAGTCCTGATAATCTCACCCTTACTATCTTGCTGCCTTAACCTTCTGAGTGCTGAGATTACCAACATGAGCTATCGTGCCAAACTTAGTATACTGTGTCTTAATCTAGGTGGGTGATACAGGGTCGTTCCCTCTATACTATCTTTATATTTAAACATGAAATGTATACTTCATATGAGTAAAATATTTCACAGTGTTTAAAACATAGGTACTGGCACACCCCCATTCACAATGACACACCAAACAGTATTTGCATCACACAGTATAACACTAACGAACACATTAATAGAAAAAAAGGCTCATAGAACCATATTTTTATGTCATTAATCTGTTGTATTTAGATTCTTTTCTAGTGTGTATCACTTAAGTTAAATATGGCAACAATAACTGTTTTTGTTTTTTTTTTTAAGACAGAGGGGTTAGAGAGATGGCTCAGCAGTTAAGAGCACTGGCTGCTTTCAATACCGATACCTACATGCCAGCTCACAACTGTCTGTAACTCTAGTTCCCAGAGATCTGACACCTCACACATACATACATGCATGCAGACAAAACACCAATGCACATAAAATAAATAAAACATTTTAAAATAGAACAATACCATATTAAAAAACATTGAGATGGCAAATAAGCTTTACTCTAAATGCCACAATACTTGCACAATAATACATTCTTGCAAGACTTAAAATGCCTATTTAAAACATTAAAATTGACTCATATTCAAGCCAAAAGTCATTTAAAACATTAAAATTGACTCATATTCAAGCCAAAAGTCACTGCATTGTAAGATCTGTGATCCAAGTTGAGTTAAACAAAACAAGCAATTATTTTTTGTTATTTTTTTGTTGTTGTTCCAAGATAGGGATTTTCTGTGTAGCACTTGTTGTCCTGGAATCATTCCTCCTGAGTGTAGGATTAAAAACAGGCACCACCATACCCAGCTTTGCAAGGAATTCTTAAAATACTTTTAAATAATAATCTGTATCTAATATACAATAGCCAAATTTTTTCTAAATATTCTTATAGAGCCAAAATTATCATTATATTTGGGAAGAGGTATTTTTCCAACATGCAAAGCATAAATAATATCCCTGTGTCTCAAATCCACTTTCCCTACAATTCTGTAGGCTGAAGAAATGTAAGCACGATGAGTGTTGTCAGTGTGTGCCTTCTTAGTTATCAGAGTCACAGGGTGGGGGCGCTGCAGAGATTTCTCAGTCATCCACAACAGAAGGTCAAGCTATAGCCCCATCTCCTAGAGTATTGCTGCTCTCTGCTCCCTATTTTAAAGGGGACTTTTTAAAAAGTCCCTTTTTGAGACTCACTCTCATTGAGTAAAGGCTGATCTCACACAGGCATTTTTCCCTCAGAAAGAAGCCAGGTATGGTAGAATACAGTCTGTTACCTCAGGAGGTAGAGGCAGGAAACACAGAATGAGACCCTATGCTACATATCCAGACCTTCTCAAAATTCATCCTATCCCACCACAAAACAGAAAGACAAACCAGGAAAAAAAAAGCATCACAAAAAAACCTGTCACCCTGATTTTGCAAAGAAGAAAACATACTAAACGAAGTTGAAAAAGTAACCCAAAGGTCATCTCATCCTAAACAGTCTGTGTTTATGACCACTCAGCGTGTGATCACTGTCCCCTCCAAATGTGTCATCATCCCACACCATGTGAACTCCTAAGTTGTTTATTAAAATGCTCATTTTCTCCAAAATTTCCTTAAAATATGATTTGATTTCCAGCTCAGAACAACTATGCACTGTGAACTAGCACTAAAACTACCTGGTAGTCAAAAGAACAAAGGTGACAGAAGTAAGAGCCCTCTGGTAATCCTACATCTGGCTGGGTTTGCTCTCGACCTTCAGTTATTAGCTGAAGAATCCCCAGGATGTACAAGATGACCAAACATGAAGATTTAACTGCCATTTTGGGAAATCTGTTTAGCAATCATGCAAGTCACATGACAGGGCCATACTCCAACCTTTCCAGGCCTCCCGAATATACCCTCCACAATTGATGCAGAGCTTCAGCTTTTCTCTTTCTGTCCTATAGAACTGGTAGTCAGCTGCCTTTAAAAATAACCATTAAATACAAACAGTTATAAACTGAGAGAATTAAAAGACACAAACAGCCACTTTCTTCAATGAAACCTATTAGGTGCACCCTAACTTTAAGCACAGTATGTCTTTGCAGGAGGAAATCTGATAAAGTGGATCTATCGTCTTAGATTCCTACTCTCTCCTACACCCAATTTTGACAGAAAGCCTCTTGCTCAAAATAAATAAATCTCCAAGATAAAAATTTCAAGCCAAAAATATTACATATTTTCTAGCCAGTCTGCTAAATGTAAGAACCCTCTTCGAGAAGCTGAAGGTAGCTGTATGTCTAAACAGACGACTAACATGCTAAATCCTGACTCCATCTCACTCCACAGAGAAAAACCAGGAGAACACAATGAAGTCTGTCACATAAAACCACGTTTCAGTCCGAGCCTGTCAAAGAGCTTGACTAACGCTGAGACACTTAACTTCAACATGGACTTTCATATTTAGAACAGAAATTACCATCCTGAAAAATGCAAAATCTCACGTATGATGTCTAAGAACTTCTACTCATCTAATATATAATTTTCCATCACAAACCTCTCATTAAATCTTAAAAGAGCCTAATTACATAAACACAGTCATTCCCAGATTCCTTGAATACGTTGGAAGCTTTACAAACTGCCAAACATTGCCAGAGTAAGATGTAAACTCAGGATTAAACATGAAATCCTAAGAGGCATCCACACAAAGTATTTTCTCTTTTAAAATTGTTTTTTAAAAAACCTCCTTTCAATTCATAACAAGAAAAATCAATTCCAACCATCAAGTCACTACCTTGTGCACACAAGTCAACTGTTTCCAGTGATTACTCAAGTTATTAGTAACTGTTACAAAGCAGCCGTGTTGTCAAGGGGTTTTAGTGTCTATTTCCTTACATTAAAAATAAAAATTGGAAAGCACCTGAAAATTTGTACTTGTCCCAAAAAAATCATTCACATTATTACCAGTCTTAATTTGAATGTAAATTAGGGCTTACCAAATTCAATTTTAAATAGTACACATCACATACTTTCCAAATAAGTCCTAAATAAAAATATCAAAATAACATAGATAAAATTTAATTTACACATAATTACATCCAACCATGAAGTTATTTAGCAGTATTTGGTATACTTGTTAAACACTGTTAAACATGGGCTAATCAATATAATTTAACAAAAACATTTCATTCTAATTATCTCAAAATTATAATTTCCAAGACTAATTTAAATCTACAAAAATTTAGGTCATGTTTCCATATACACAGCCACTAATTTACATATAAAATGTAACTTTCACAGTAGCTACTAGTACTCAATAACAATAAATGTCATGAGACAATGTTCTACAGGCAGCACAAATTCCCTATGACAAGCAGACACAGACAGCTCTTAGCACAGTCACTCACCACTTCCTCTAACGCAGCACTTCGCCCAAAAGAACAAGTGAGATGTGTGAGGCAGTTAACAAAGGAGGAGAAAAGTTCGCTGGGGATGGCAGTTAAGACATTCCGAGGGAACACAGTTATCAGATTGCTGATAATGCTGGAGATTCCCACAGCTTCAGAATCTTCTATTTCGATTCTACAAACCAAATCATGAGGGTTTTTTAGTAGTACAAGATAAGCTCTATTTCCAAACACAAAAATATTATCATCATTCACTTGTAAAGGCATGTGCCTGTATTAATTTCAAATAGACAGACAACTCTACTTCAAAACACAGAACAAAAAAAGCCTTAGTTTCTTTTTTCCTCCATATGAAATACCAGAGGAAAAGGGAAGGTTCCCTCTTCTATTCAAAAGAACAAGCATACCTACCCATTGATAGTGTTCAGCAATCCCTCAATGAAGTGTGCTAGATAATCAACCTGGGATCCTTCATCGGGAAAGATGGGTCCATGTAGAGAAGCTAACTGGGCAAGGCACTGCAGAGAATCCTGTGCCATATCTGAATCTTCTCTGATTTTTCGGTGTACCTGTTAGAAAGAATCACTAATCCATAAAAACAAATTCTTCTTTTGTAGGGGTCACGTGCAAACCATGTCAAATGAGGTAAGAGAAAAATTCACTGTAGCAGGACATTTCTAAAAAATTAACTCCTCAGTTAAACGAAACCTAAAAATCGTCCTTCAGTCCAAACGACATTATAGGTCATGACTTTATACATATTAATAAATTTTTACTTGAGGGCTACCTGCATTTTAAAAATTGAACTATCTCCAGCATATTATGACAAGGAGAGAAAACAGATGCTAGCCAGTCAGACATACTGCTTCTGCTAAAAACAGCAACGACGACAGTCATCTGTATTATGCTAACTATGCCTCACCACAGCTTCTTGCTAAAGTTAGCAGACAAGTTCAACCCAGTATATAGATGCTGCCTTAGCGAAAGCAAACACTTGCACACTTTGAAAACCAACAAGTGTACCTATCACCCATCCTAAATATCACCTGCATGACATGGAGCAGATGCTTAAATTCTGAGACTGTTTGATCTTTTTGAATTTCATTTTATCCCACACCACTGCTATTGATACTACATGTTAAAATAAAATTTGTATTTAATACATAAGTCTACTTAAGTGGCAACTAGACCTTACTTTAATGATGTAATACTGATACCTACTACAGTGTTTTATCTAAAGTTCTCAGAATATCGCTTCTTAACTTCTGTATTACTAAATTTTCAGACATTAAAGATTTCATTTCTATGTTCTGATAGTAAAATGGAACAGGAAATGCCAGGAAGAAATTATAAAGCAGCTATTCATCTTCATGCACGATACTGACTAGCCATTTGCCATTTCTCACCAGCATTTAACAGAAGCGCTCTAGCCCTCCTCTTTCTTTTATGAAGCATTGTACTCTATATTTGTTTCAGGTTATGTTGGTTTTGATTCTATAAATTTATAAATTACTTGACACCATGATGTCCTTGTTTTTTTTTAAAATGCATTCACCAGTACAGTATGGGACACAGTGAACAGAGTAAATCCTTGTTAACTGATTCCACTAATCATAGCCTCTTAGCTTCTTAAGATCAAGTGAAGATATTTAAACCAGTATAACAGCTCTAAAAATTACAGTTAAATGACTTATTTGATTGTTTATTTTTAATTTAGGGCTCCTCACTACAATGACAGAGTTGAATATGAACATATTGTACACTGAACCTAAAATATTTACTGTGGTCCCTGATAATATAAAGAAAGAGTTTGCCAATCCCTGGACTGAAACAAAAAACACTTCAACCTATATTCCAATGTAATTTAAGCTTTACCAAGTATAACACACAAAATTGTATGCATGTCTTGGTTGCATACTCTTGAATACATTCTTTTAACCTCTTTATCTTAAAAGCACAATTCTGTGCTGTCATCCTTTGACTCTTAACCTGGTAATCAAAATTCACTGAGATGCCTAGAGCCAGATTCTACCAACAGCAGAAACAGTGCAGGATGGGACAAGAGAAACTTGTTACATAATTTGCTCCACACAGGAATCAGATGACCTTTCATTCCTGGACGAGAGATGACAACACAAAAGAAAAATGTGCTTAATGAGAGCGCTAGTGCTGGCAATCTCAAAACAAAACAAATCAAAAAACTGTCCCGGGAACAAGGATTAATTTGTTTTCTGAAATAGGAGTCATATAAAACTCATGGGGTTTTTTTTTGTTTTTTTTTTTTGTTTTTCGAGACAGGGTTTCTCTGTGGCTTTGGATAAAACTTCATGTTAAACAAGTAATTCTTGTGATATATAGATTCATGGTCTACTGATTTTAGCACGAGAAAGCATTCCCTTCATAATTGAACATGTATTTCCATCCAAATGGTATCATACAATTACAAACAGATTACCACCTCTGCAGAGAAAGGAGTCAAGAGGAGGAGAGATGGACACCCACGGAGGCAAACAGAGAGACCATTCACCAAATAAGCATAAAAGGCACAAGTTAGCAAGAAAGACAGACCTCTGCTAAAGTATGTTTAAACATCAGATGCCAGTGTGCCTTTCACACTGAAACACCCAGGAAACATGCAGATTATGAGGTTTGGAGAGTGTGGAATGTTCTGTGCTAAATGCAAACTGAAAAATCATAGGTGAAGTGGTGCCTGATATGCTATGTGTGGAAAAGATAGCAAAGCAGAGAGCTAAGAATGACAATATTCAGAGAGCAGAGGACCAGAATCCTGATCAGAAAAGTTCTCCCAGAAGAGTAGGAAGAAAAGAAAAACTAACAACTTTGTAAACTTCTGAAGAGCAGAATGCAATCAAAATCACTTAAATTTCAGATACGGTCAATAAATTTAAGTCTCACTCCCGTATATTTATTTACAGAAATCTAGCATAATAATGATATCTAATAAAAAAGAGATTAAATTTAGTAATTAATTCATAAGTAAAGCTAAATTTAGCAAAACTCAAATTAAAATTAAGTCATGTTTTTTGCCACAAATTAAAATTGTTTATAAATTGCTTAAATACAAATAGCTACACTCATAAACTACTAAAACGACAGAGTAGCAAAGGGTTAACTTTTGAATTCAAAGTTATTTGTATGTGGTAGTTCACAGCTGACAGGAACAGCTGTCTGGTTTGTCTAGACAGCTGTTCAGACCAAGTTGAGTTGTTTGCAGCATTGCCAGCAAGTTTTTCACCTTTTCACAAACTACTGGAGTGGGACCTACTTTCTGTCGAGCAAATAAAAAGAACTGAACTTGGACTCATATCAAACAATTCCTGCCAGATGAGGCATCCCACAAAGTCCTTAAAATTTTATTGCAAGTCCTGTTTGATCTTGCTCATGTTTTTAGCTGTCTTTCCCTCTGATTTAAAAAGAAAAACAGAAGATGACTAGTGCTCAGAATAAACACTTCCATAGAAAACATCTTTTATGAAGGATAGAAAGGAGCCTTGGTGGCACAATACTTGTCAGGCACACACAAGACCCTGGGTGCAATCTCCAGAACCCCAAAACAAGCCACTATCGTAGAAAGCGATTTTTTTAGTATGCCTAAGGATGGACACTCTTTAGACATTTTAAAATATGTAACACAGTACTAAAATATTTAAATGGTTCAATCACAAAAGGATAATTCATACTTCAAAATGCATGAAATGATAAGAAACTATAATAATTCAAACTGAACAAAACTGTCTTATTCTTTTCTTTCTAATTGGTGTTTACCTAGATTGTACTGGTTTTTATTTTAAGTCACTGATCTAACTACATACCTGTTTTGTAACTGCAAATTAGCTCCCAACACACACATATATGTACTCCAAAACTCACTGGCACATGTGGGAATATACTGCTTGCTTCTTGAAGCAAGTTGACACTAAGAGGCCTAAATGTTTAAAGTTATAATTGAAATATTGAAGATAAATTGCTCTTAAATATTAACTTAGTTCAGGTCTTGTAATTATGAGTATAGTCCACTAGGGGAGCAGTTTTCAAAATGTAGCCCAGGGAACCCTCACTGTCTAAGCCACTGCAGACAGTGTCCACAAGTGCACTAACACGATTCTGCTCTTTCTTGTGCACTGCATACATACACACAGAGGCCTTTTCCTGGGAATCACATGATTTAAGATACCAACTGAATGAAATATAAAACAGGAAAATCTGGTTGTCTTTTATTAATCAGATGAGTAAAAATACAAAGCAAACAAAACCAAAACCCAGTTATTTTCATTATATTTGCTTTTAAAGTATTTGTTCATTGAAGTTATTTATATGATGATGAAATAATTTCTTATTGGCATTTTTAGTGAAATAAAATATTTTTTAAAGTTTTCAGTATGAATTTTCAGTTTATTTTTTATTATAACAACACGTTATAGTTTAGTCAAAGACCAAAATTCATGCCATTATCGTCTTTTGCTTCTATCAGTTTGAATTTGTAATGTGATAATAGCTATATTATATAACAATAGTTATATAACCCACACAAATAAAAGCTAGTAGGGAATTCCAAATTTTAAGAGTGTAAAGGAGTCCTGTATTTACAAAGTCTAAGAAGGGATCTAAGCCCTTCAAAATGAGATAGTATTTGTACACTAATTAGCAAGATTTGTTATATAATTTCTCCTTCACCAGGTGTGTTAATGAGAAGAAAAATCAACAGGGAAAAAAAGAAATCTGTCATGTTTTACTTAAGAAAAACAAAGGCATTTCCTCTTCCCGTGTCCCCTTTTAACAGAGAAAAAGACTAGGACTTACTGTGAAGAAAAGTTCCATGACTCTGCTGTCCAGAAGAGTCTCCCGCCAGGACTCCGTTGGCTTCAACAGCACATTTTGTGAGGATTCGAACATAGCTATATAATGTCTGCCCAGTTATCTAGTGTCAAGGTCAACAACAATAACATTCTTACTTTGTCTAAACTATAAGTATACCCTAAATATAACAGCAGCCAGCCAGAAAGAATGCAATGGAAACAGTTTAAGCCTCTTCACATATGCTACATAATTCATGCATGAAGCTAAGGAATAAAAGGCATTAAGTGCTGAAAAAAAGAATGCTATAGGAATGTAAGATAACCATTTTAGTCATTATGTGTACCATGCCATGGGGATACAGAATCCTTGACAATCAGAGATCTTAATAGAGGCCACAGAAGAAAAAAACATGACTTAAAAACAGACACCAGAAACCAAACAAAAAGAATCAATGTCTTAATTTGCCCCATCACTTCCCCCAATATCTTAAATAGTTAAAATCATATATACAAAATGTATCTCACATAGACAATAGGGAAAATCAGCAGTTTTCCAAAAGAAGTATGTTTACTAGAAAACAGGAGAAGAACATGAAAGACTAACTATGCCTTATACTGGGGGAAAAAAACAACACCACCACCCTGAGATCACAGTAGCCCAATATCAAGTCAAAACAAAGAATCAAGTGGCTGACAGAAAACGGATGTTTATTTAAAATTCCCATAGTCTTGAGGGAAGCAAAGAGGCCTCGATCCCCAGAACTCACTAGTCAGCCAGTTAGCCTAGTTGGTAAGCTCCACACGAGTGAGAGACCCCATCTCAAAAACAATGATAGCCCCCAAGGAATGGTTTCTGAAGTTGTCCTCTGTCCTCTACACAAACATACACACATACACATGTACACCAATATACATGAGCATACACACACACACACAGAGAATAAACAAAATTTCCCAGACTCAAACAGTATATAAGATGTTGAGGTATTCAATATCAAATATGCTTCAAATAGAATAAATTTTCTGTAAATAACTTAACCATCATATATATATACATTTGTAGGTGTTGATGAACGTAATTCACTCAACAGCATGGCCATAGTAACTAAAGCTTAAAGAAATGAGAGGCCACCGGGCGGTGGTGGCGCACGCCTTTAATCCCAGCACTCGGGAGGCAGAGGCAGGTGGATCTCTGTGAGTTCGAGGCCAGCCTGGTCTACAAGAGCTAGTTCCAGGACAGGAACCAAAAGCTACAGAGAAACCCTGTCTCGAAAAATCAAAAAAAAAAAAAAAAGAAATGAGAGGCCGCCTGCAATGGAGAGGGTAACTTCTGCCCCTTCCATTGGAAACAAAGTCTGAACTTGGCAAAATTCTCATTCATAAGAAATCTTGACATAGGCATCTAAGATGACACTATGCATAAATTCAGGCATATATTTAAATGCTATCATTTCCTAAAACCCAACTCATTAATTTTAGGGAGAAATTATTTGCAGAAAAAAATTGAAGGCCCTAAGAAGGCTTTGGTAACCATTTTTCAAAAGACGGGTAGAACATGCCTTTAATCCCAGCAGAGGCCAGAGGATCTGAGTTCAAAGTCAGCCTGGTCTACAGAGAGAGTTTCAGGATTGCCAGGGCTACACAGAGAAACCCTGTCTTGAAAAATAAAACAACACAAGAATGTTTTTTGGGTTTTGTTGTCTGTTTGGTTGGTTGGTTTTTTGGCCTGCAGCGGGTGGAGAGGGCACTGAGTTGTCTTAAGAAAGAAAGTCACTGCTTCTTTCTGAAGTCATTCCCAAACTCCTCCAACTCTAGCAAAAGCGAAACCCTGAACAGGCTCATTAAGCCTTTCCCTCTTCCTTTATCTGCCCCCTTGTGGGCAGAAAGAATGAAAGAAGGTAAGCATGAAATGTGCAAAGAAAAAGCAGCCGAGAACTAAGAGTCCTCAAGATGAAGTGAATTCATTTCCTAGCAGGCACCAGACTACATCAACACAGCACACGGCTGAATGGCTGATTACTTTTAGAAAAACAAACTGAAAGATTTACTGATGACATTATCATGTATTCAAAGAGTCTGACAGCTATTCTCTTTATAAGTCTTTGAAATTCACAGCAAAGCAGGTAAGGGATCTTCCGTCTTTGGAACAGAACACCTGGGAAAAGAAACAAAGGCTCTATATCTCAAAACAGAAAACCAATCCATTTATCTTTTTCTAGCTTTAGTTTCATTTTATTAAAGGTAAATTTTTATTATGTGAAAGGTCAGTATGAAATACAATTATTAACCACAATATGACCTGAAATGGTGTGATGTGTATAGTATAGAGATTACATGACACTGTCAGGGGAACGTGTACACGCAGATCTAGATCATATCAAAACAACGTAAAGAACTAAGAAAATTCAATTTTTATTTGTAATTCTCAAATATTGTTGTAGTTGAGGATATTTCAGATGCTATTTCAATCCTCAAGTAATAATGTAGAATATGGCTTTTTTTGTTGTTGTTATTTTTTTGGGTAGGGGATTTGAGACAGGATTTGTCCATAGCTTTGGAGCCTGTCCTGGAACTTGCACTAGTAGACCAGGCTGGCAGAGATCCACCTGCCTTTCCCGAGTGCTGGGATTAAAGGTGTACACCACCACCATCAGGCTAGAATACATTTTTTAAAAAGAAAAACAGATAAATATCACCACGGTCAGAACTCAGAATCTAATCTAACTGAGCTGAGGTGCTAAAACACAATCTTCTAACCTGAGTCATCTTAGTCCCTTGGAAAACCAGCCAGCTACATGTAAATTCTACTGTAGCCTGGGGCAGAATCAACATTCCCTGCCCCTCTCCACAAAAGCCTCTCAAATGTTCAACAGAGGTAAGCTCACAAAGTTCTGAGAAATGAAAAGCACATCCACACCACCTGCCCTATTCTGTAACTACAGGACCAAGTCAAACAAACACCAGGCCAAGAGCCAGAGGACAAGCTTAGTCACCCCTACTAATGACTCTCACCAGCTATTAAGTCTTCTGTGTCAAGTTCTTGAACAGACTGCTCTCAGAAAATACATTTATCTCAACTACAGGGCAGGGTTGTAGTTTGGAAATACTGTGAAAATATATGGGTACTTACATCTGCAAAGACGTTCTTAGGCATTTACTAACACCTTCAGTAAGGGTATCATAATGAAAGAAAGAAAGAAAATGTGGGGATGTGCTTCAGTTGGCGATTATTCTGCATGCACACAGACTTGGTTTCAACCTCCAATACTCCATAAACTGGGAGCACATGCCTATAATCCAAGCTGTAGGTAGACACAGTACTGATGAAGACACAGGACATGGAAGAGCCAGTATATTCTTGTACATTCCAAAGGTTAACACAAAATGGTCCAGCTGCTATTGGAAACAATGCAGCAGATGCTCAAAATAATGAAGGTAGAGTTCGTACAGACCTGGATCAAGATTGCTAACAAACCAGGAGGGGCATACCTGTAACCCAGCACATAGGAAGTAAGTACAGAAAGATTAGGAGTTTAAGGCCATCCTTGGCTACACAAAGACCCCATATTGAAAAGAAACCAAAATAGCAAAAACATCAGAATAATCACATCAAAGAACCAACGCCTTAGACCACAGGAAATGGCAAAGCTTTCCCCCCTGGTTCAAGTGTATTGATAGTGTTGATGATGTGCAGAAAATATCCAAACTAGTTTCCCCTACATCCCCATAGCCTGAAGACTGTCCTCTACTGAGACTGTTCTTACAAAGATTAGGTAAACCTACTTCCTCAATTCAGCAGTATACCATAAATCCTGCCTCCATGTTTACTCATAGGCAATATATCCCTGCCTCCTTGGTCAACTGCTGTGCTGAGCTTCCTAGGTGTTGTGTTACTCTATCAGAAAGCCTAGTCCACCTGCTTTCAACTTTTCTGTGTATTCTTTTCTTCATTCCCTCACTGGCCCAGCCAGGCAAACTCCTGAAACCATGCAGAGACACAGCAACCCTAAGAGAACTTTAGAACCAGAGTCTAAGCAAATGTTCAAATAATTTTAACACACTGACCCAACTGAATGATGTTTCCATTACTTTCATTTAGTCAAGCTCTGCACATCTGGGTACTGATGACAGGGACGCTGCTTTGGAGGTTGGCCCAGAGATTTCTATGTCATCAAACTTCTACAGTCCACTCTGATACACCGATTACCTTCATGCATTAGAAAGCAGGGCTAGCCACCAAAGGTGGTGGGAGATGAAAAAGCATAGTTCACTGTCTTAATTACTTTCCTATTGGGTGAAGAAACACCATGACCAAGGAAACTTTTTTTTTTTTTTAAAAAAAAAGCGTTTAATTAGGAGCTAGGGCAGTAGTTGAGTCTACATCTTATTCACAAGTATGAAGCAAGAGCCGGGCGGTGGTGGCGCACGCCTTTAATCCTAGCACTTGGGAGGCAGAGGCAGGCGGATCTCTGTGAGTTCGAGACCAGCCTGGTCTACAAGAGCTAGTTCCAGGACAGGCTCCAAAACCACAGAGAAACCCTGTCTCGAAAAACCAAAAAAAAAAAAAAAGTATGAAGCAGAAAAAGCTAACTAGAAATAGTATGGGTTTTTGAAACTTCAAAGCCCACCCCCCACTGACAAACCACCTTCACCAAAGCCACACCTCCACCTCCTAAACCTTACCAAATTTCTATCAACTAGAGACCAAGCATTTAAGAATGTGAGGCTGGGGGGGGGGGGGGAGGGAGTGGCAGTGACTTTGCATTTTCATTCAAACAACCACATTTGCTCTTTCAAGGAATTAAAAAAACAAATAAAAAAACAGCTCAAGCTGAGATGCAGGACCACACTGTTGACCCTCGTTCCAGGGCTGACCCTAATCACTGAAGCTCTCTCTCAGTGGGAACACGTGACTTTTATCTAAAACAAACATAAAACAATATCAAGAGCACTGCCAGAAGACCATTTAAAACTGCCTTTGTATGTTCAACCGAATGGACCAGTAATTTTTCATTGGTGACAACAGTTTTGTGCAGAAAATTTCCCAGTGGCTCTCTGTGGGTTTGAGGCCAGCCTGGTCTACACAGCAAGTTCCAGGACAGCTAGGACTACAAAGA